TTTTTTTTTTAAGATTTATTTATTTGCAAGGCAGAGTTAGAGAGATCTTCCATCTGCTGGTTCACTCCCCAGATGGCCACAACAGTCTGAGCTGTGCCCATCTGAAGCCAGGAATCAGGAGCTTCTTTTGGGTCTTCCACGCGGGTGCAAGGGCCCAAGGACTTGGGACATCTTCTACTGCTTTCCCAGGCCATAGCAGGGAGCTAGATCAGACGTGGAACAGCCGGGACTTGAACCAGCGCCCCTATCGGATGCCGGCACTTCAGGTGGTGGCTTTACCTGCTATGCCACAGTGCCGGCCCTGTCCTTGAAGTTTCTGAAATAACTTCATGCACAGCAAGGCCTTGGCTCTGGGCTGTGTGGGTCTCTGGAGACGCTGATCTTCTGAGGAGACAGTGCCTTCACTGTAGCACCCTAGAAACAAGGAAGGTGTCTGGTGCAGCAGGTAAGATGCCACCAGGAACACTCCCACCCCGCGGAGCAGTGCCTGGGCTCCAGTCCTGGCTCTGCTTTTAATTCCAGCTGCCGGCCAGCTAATGCAGGAAGGCAGCAGGTGATGGTTCAGTACTGGGGTCCCTGCCACCCAGAGGAGACCCAGACTGAACTGGCAGATAGATCTCTTTTATTCGAGAAACAAAAATAACAACACAATACAAGAAAACACACATAAACTTTATTTACAGTTGAAAACTTAAACACAGACAATCTTGGGTTCTGAATCTGTGATACCTCCTGGGTCTCTTGATCAAAGGGGAAGCAGCAGGCAGGAAGCACAGCCAGAGTGAAGCACACCTCCTGGAGTGAGGGGAGGCCTACGACGGCAGAGCAGTGGCGGTCAGTGAGGGGCACAGGTGAGCCGCCGGGACTCCCCGCTGCCCTCCACACTCCTGCTCCTCTTTCCCAACAGCACAGCCACGGGTCAGACTCCAGTTCCGCAGGGCACCCTTGAGAGGTATAGCGCACAAGAACCAGGCATACTGTCCCGTTTACTGTTTTCCCGTCCCACTCCGAGCAGCAGGCATGGTTTCTATGGAGAGGAGCACAGGAGGCCCGGGGCTCACTGTCCTGAGGTCACGGCGGTGAGTGTGCTGGGCTCCAAAGCCCGGGCGTGCTTCTCCTTGGACTGACATCTGTCTGTGGAGCTCCAGAACAGAGCAGTCCTTCCTCCTGGCACGTTTTGGAGAAAGGAAGGTCCACACTGTGTTTATGGCCTTGAAGAGCACTCTCAGATACTACTGCCCCCTCCGCCGGGCCCCACCCTCCCCCTGTGGACAGTGGGTCCTGGTGGTGTCATAATGTAGATAGACAGAAGTTAAACCCCGGGTCCTCCAAACTCTATAAAAATGTATAAACTCACTTAGAAACTGCATGGCGCGGCCAGCGCCGCAGCTCACTAGGCTAATCAATCCTCCACCTGCGGCGCCAGCACACCAGGTTCTAGTCCCGGTTGGGGCGCTGGATTCTGTCCCGGTTGCCCTCTTCCAGTCCAGCTCTCTGCAGTGGCCCGGGAAGGCAGTGGAGGATGGCCCAGGTGCTTGGGCCCTGCACCCGCATGGGAGACCAGGAGGAAGCACCTGGCTCCTGACTTCGGATCGGCGCAGTGTGCCAGCCGGAGCGGCCATTTGGGGGTGAACCAATGGAAGGAAGACCTTTCTCTCTGTCTCTCCTTCTCACTAACTCTGCCTGTCCAGAAGAAAAAAAAAAAAAAAAGGAAAGAAAAGAAAAGAAAAGGAACTGCATAGCGCACCTGGACCCAAGCTCTAATAGATCAGGCACTGTGTTAGTGACCACGGTTCTTGCTTTAAGGAGCTCAGTGACCAATGGGTTAAGTGCCGTAAAGGAGGAATAAACCAAACGCTGCTGGAGCCCCCGGGCTGGAACCGTTCACTAAGCCTAGGCCTGGGAGGAGAGGATGCAGGGATTCACAAACTGATGTTAGCACCAGCTATGGGCGTGCTCCTGAGGGGCCGGGAGGGATTAGGATTAGTAAAACCTACATTTATACTGTGTTATAAGATCATAGTCAACACCGAAGATTCAAGTGTAAAAAGGACAATATCAACTGTAAAGAGTCTCTCTGCTATCTACTCTGAACTACTGGGGTGGGCATTTAGTACAGCAGTTAAGATGCCACTAGGGATGCCCACATTCCACATTGGAGAGCCTGAGTTCAAATCCTGGCTTCTCTTCTTTGGATTCAGCTTCTTGCTAACGTGCACCCTTGGAGACAGCAAGCCTAAGCTCAAATACTTGGGTCCCGGCCACCCACCTAGGAGGCCTGGATTAAAGCCTCAGCTCCTAGCCTTGGTCTGGCACAGTCCTAGGTGCTATAGGCATTTGGGGAGTGAATCAGTGGATGGAAGATATGTGTCTGTCTCTCTGCCTTTTAAGTAAAATGAAAATAAAAGTTTTAAAAAGTTCATGGACACTGTATTATGAAACAGATGTCCATGATTTCAAAACATCTTACACCAATAACTTCATTTTTCTCTGAACTTTTAGAATCCTCTTGTGTATGTAAGTAGCAAAGAACCCAGTTCAGATGACAGTTGGAGAATCCTGAGGGTTGATGTCAGTTTACTCTATACCTAACCATATTCACCATGCAGAGCCACTGAGATCAAAACCCAACACAACGACCAAGGCTTCTCCATCTCAAGGTCTAGAGCAGTACAGAAAACTTTATTTTCACTAAAAACTAAGTCAGAACTTAGGAAGGCAAAACACAAAAGAGTTCCGGAGGGAAGTGCTCCCAAAGGAGGTTCAACTGATGAAGTGATTTCACCTGTCTTCCATCTTTGGTTCCTCGCCTCTTCATCCCATATTCCAGGGCCACCAAGGGAGTGTCTCCTCCTGGGTCTTTTCTCTGGACTATGGCGAGTTCGCAATCAAAACAGACACTGTGGCTCTATTCTCTTGTTGCTCAAAGTCAGCACCAGCACACCTGGGAGCTGGTCACAAAGGAACAACCCAGGGCAGGCATTTGTGCAACAGTTAAGAAACGGCTCGGGATGCCCACCTCCTGTACGATGCCTGGGTGCAAGTCCTGGCTCTGTTCCCAATTCTAGCCTCTTGATAATGTGCACCCTGGGAGGCAGCAGAGGCAGCAGTGCTTGGGTATCTGCCACCATGTGGGAGACCTGGGTTTCCTGACTTTGGCCCGGTCCAGCCCTGGTTGCTACAGACACTGGGGAGTGAACCAGCGGACAGGAGATCTCTATCCATTTTTCTCTCTGCCTTTCAAACAAATTAAAAAAAAAAATTTTAATGCAAAATTTCAGCCCCATCCAGATCCACTGACTCAGACCCAGTATTTTAACAATTTCTCTTGGATACTGATCTACACATGGAACTATGAGAAATACTGCCCAGGAGGGCTTAAAAACATCATCTATGTCCAAGCATTCTTCTGCCACCAAAACTTGAGGGCTAGGAAACCCTCCTGAAAGATCAGAGAAAAATGGTATCATGATACCACTTCCCTCCATGGCCCCCTCCACTCCCTGGGGCAGTAATCTCTTCTCCCTGATTCTCCCAAATCACATTATTCAGCAACCCAGAGTGGGCTACCTATTTGTAGAATCCTTCCCATCAGACTGCCCCCTAGCTTCTCTAACACTGTAAAGCCTATGTTAGGGCTTCCTGGTAGAGTAACATGAAATAATTGAAGTACAGTTCTTAGCTCAATATTTGGGCAGGACAAGTACTTGGCAGGGCAGACTCTGTGGTACAATGGGTCAAGCAGCTGCTTGGGACAACCACATACCACTCTGAAGTCCTGATCTGTCTTGGCTTCTCTGCTTCGGATGCAGCTTCCTGCTAATGTGCACCCTGGGAGGCAGCAAGTGGTCCCTGCCACCCACTTGAGAGACCTGGATGAAGTTCTGGGCTCCTGGTTTCAGCCTGGTCCAGCCACAGCTATTGCAGCCATTTGGGGGAGTGAACAAGCAGATGGAGATCTCTTTCTCTCCCCTACCCCACCCCCATCATTCTTGCCTTTTAAATAAGCAATTTTAAAAAGCGATGTATTTGATAAATGATAATTGCTTTTATTATCGTGTTTCTAACACTTATGAGATGGAATTCTGAGCAAGTCCAGATTATGAGACTGAATGGGAGGTACCTAAGTTTGGAGTTCACTGTCCCATTTAGTAGCCAGTAGCTGCATGTGGCCCCTGAATTATATAAAATAAAAAATTCATCCCTCAGTCATACTAGCCACATCTCAAGTGCTCAACAGTCCTGTGGCCAGAACCTTCCAAACAGGGCAGCAGAGACAGAACGTCGCCCTCGTCTTGGAAAGGATGGTCTCTTCCAGGGCCCGGGTCCACAGGGCCTCCGGAACGTCAAACAGCCCCAGAGGAGCGTGTCCTGCTGGAGCCCCGGGCTGAGAGGAGGGCCTTCATGGGGCAGAGTGCACATGCTTCTGCTAACGGCAGATGGGAGGGGAAAGCTCATGATCTCCTCACCCCCCCCCCCCCCAGGAAGGGGCTTCCAGCAACTTCCCATGAAGGACTCAGAAAACGCAGAAGAGACCCCAAACGTAGAAATTCTGAGTTTTGTATTATCACTCTTATCCTCCAGTAGTTATGGGCGGTCCGTTGTTTGAAGGAAAAGGACGTGTGCGTTCAATTGTAGCAGCACACGCTTGTGCACATGGAGGGAGCTGCCAGCACCTATTGAAAGGGGAGAGCAGGTTGAGCCCAAGGGGCCCCTGGGATTGGCGGAAGGGAAAGTTCAGGGTTGTCAGTCGGGCCTGGGGAGGCCCCGTTGGTTGCAGAAGAGAGAGGCTCATGCACAGCTCTCAGCACACACTTGCGCATTCCTGCCTCAGCATTGCTGACGCCAGGTCCCTGCCTAAAATGCCTGACATTCCGCCTCTCTACTAACTCATGCAATACATTTTTATCAAATGCCTATAATTGCCAGATGCTCTGAGCACCAAGTGAGTCACAGATACAGGTACAGGCAGTCGTTAATATGGCCTGGTATGTGCCTGGATCTCCATTTGGAGATAAATAAAAATAAATTCTGGATAGCTTTTTTTTTTTTTTTTTTTTTTAAGATTGATAGATTTATTTGAAAGGCAGAGTTAGAGAGAGGAAGGAATCCTCCATCTGCTGCTTCACTCCCCAGATGGCCACAATGGCCAGGGCCAGGCTAGCCTGAAGCCAGGAGCTTCTTCTGGGTCTCCCATGTGGGTGCAGGAGCCAAAGGACATGGGCCATCAGCAGGGAGCTGATTGGAAGTGGAATAGCCCAGACACAAACCTGTGCCCATGTGGGAAGGTGGCGTCACAGGCAGTGGCTTTACCTGCTATGCCACAACAAGGGCCCCTGGATACTTTATCATCTCTAGATTACTTATGATACACAAAGCGGGTAAATCCTGTGTAAAGTTGTTATCCTGTATTGTGCAGAGAAGAATGACCAGAAAGGAAAGAAATTCTTTTTCAAATATTTTCAGTCTGCATTTGCCTGCATCTGCAGAACCAGAACCTGCAAATAGGGAGGGCCAATTTTGCACGATGCCAGCGGCTCATGGAATATGGCATAGTTAGTTTTGTTTTATAAATACAAAGGTAGTCTCACACGCACTAACAAGGAAAGATCTTCAAGATATAATGCCGTGTTGAAAACACAGTGAACAAGGTAGTCTGATGTTGTTCAGGAAACTGTGAAAGTTCTCATGAGACGGTATCGTGTCACTTGTCTAATGGAACAGGGAAGCCTTAATCAGATCATGTTTTGCTTTTCTTTCCAAGCTGCACCTGGTCTTCCCAGCCGCTAGTCTATTCTTAAAAGGGACTAAGACACACTCTTCCTCTGCCATCTTCACAGCGACCCTGAGACAGAGGCATTATCACCATTCTGCAGAGGAAAGGGAAGTGATACCCCACGTCACAAACAGGGGACATGGGCTCCATCCTGTATCTTCAAGTCTAAAATTCTTTCCACTGGACCATGCCACCTTCTCTGGGGTCTGGTTCCTAACCGAACAGGATACAGACCCACTTACCTGGTTCAGTCTTGGTCTGGACTACATCTCCCCACACTGTGAGATCACCACAGGCAGCTTGGGTTTATTGTTGGGGCCTGTGGGAACATTCTGGGAAGAGAGCAGAGGACACTTACCTTCTCAGTCACGTGTTCACTCCTTCATTGAAGCCATACCGATGTCTGCCTGTTCCTGTGCTAATGACCCAGGACTAAGAGACTGATATGACAATCTACATCCCAGCAGACAGGAAAAGGACACAGTACAGTTCAAAGAAAAATGTAAAGCACTTGGAAAATATCAAGCTATGATTCATAACAACACAGTAAGTCACAGAGTTATATGCAGAGACAAAGCAACTAAACTAATGCTTAAAAGGGTGGCATAGGGGGAAGGGTGTTTGGCTTAGCAGTTAAAGACACCTGCACCCCACATTAGGGAAGTACCTGGGTTCCAGTCCCAGCTCCACTGCCGATTCTAGCTAATACACAGCCTGGGAGGCAGCAGGTTATGGCTTAAGTACTTGAGTCCCTGTCACCCACATGGGAGATCTAAACTGAGTTCCCAGCTCCTGCCTCAGTCTCCCAGACCCAGCTACTGCAGGCATTTGCAGAGTGAACGAGCAGATGGAAGATCTGTTTAGCTCTTTGATGGGGGGGGGGGGAGGGGGCAAAATTAAATGAACAGAAAAGAAAATAGAGAAGGCTTGATCTGGGCCTAGATGGATGAACGCGATCCCACCAGGGGGAAGAGAAAGAAGAGCATCCAGGTGGAGGAAACAGCAGGGGCAAGGGCTGGGGCGGAGCCGTGTGTGGCACAGTGGGAGCAGGGCCAGCAGCCTGACACAGAGTGTGCAGCACAGCGGGGCAGGCAGGGATCAGATCACGAGGGACCCTGGACGCAGGGCTGAGGGGACCAGGTTGCCAGAGGCCGCTCCTCATTGTGGGACAGAGAGCCTAACCGACAGGGACAGAGCACTCAAGGGGAGAGTGCGACCTCCTCCCTTTCCAGAGGGTGTGCAGGGAACCAGAGGCAGGGAAGACTGGCTCTGTCTTTACCTTCTCTAGTCAGCAGGGACCAGACCCGAACGGCTGGGAAAGAGAGCAAGTAGGACTTACCTCAATCTTTCTCATCACCAGAAGGCCATCGATGATTTTTCCTGCAGGAAGAGTACAAGTTGGACTTTATTCTTCTTGTTTACATAGCATTTTCATTTCCAAAGCATGTTCTTGGATATTATCTTACTAATCCCTTTTACTAACTTTCAGAAATGGAGGGGCTGGTGTTGTGGTGTAGCAGGTAAAGCTGCCTACGATGCCAGCATCCCATATGGGTGCTGGTTTGTGTCCAGGATGCTCTACTTCTGATCCAGCTCCCTGCTAAAGGCCTAGGAAAAGCAGTGGAAGATGTCCCAAGCGTTTGGACCCCTCCAACCTACGTGGGAGATATGGATGAGGCTCCTGGCTCCTGGTTCTGCCCTGGCCCAGCGCTAACCGTTGCAGCCATGTGGGGAGTAAACCAGCACATGGATGATCTCTCTTTCCCTCTTTCTCTGCAACTCTGACTTTCACATAAACAAACAAAATCTTAGAAAAAAAATTGGGATTCAGTGGAAGCAAAATGACTTGCCTAAGGTCACAGGTAACAAGCAGCAAAGTTAGGGCTCAAGCTTATTTTTTTTATCTTATAGATTTAGTTACTTGAGAGGTAGAGTTAGAGAGAGAGAGGTCTTCCATCCGCTGGTTCACTCCTAAAATGACCCCAACGGCTAAAGCTGAGCAGATCTGGAGCCATGGGCCAGGAGCCAGAGCCAGGAGCTTCCTCTGGGTCTTCCACAAGGGTGCAGGTGCCCAAGCACTTGGGCCACCTTCCACTACTTTTCTAGGCACATTTGCAGAGAGCTGCATGGGAAGAGGAGCAGCCAGGCCTTGAACCAGCACCCATATGGGATGCTAGTGCCACAGGCGGAAGCTTAGCCTACCACACCACAGTGCCAGCCCCACGTCTGAACAATTCTAAAACCCACTGTAGTATGTTGCCTGTATGGCATGTCTTTTTTTTTTTATAGATTTATTATTTTAAAGGCAGAGTTGGGGGGGCGGGGTTGTCCTTCCATCCACTAGTTTACTCTCAAAATGGCCACAATAGCCCAAGCTGGGCTGAACCAAAACCAGGAGCTTCTTTTGGGTCTCTCACAGGGGTGTTGGGGCCCAAGAACTTGGGCCATCTTCTGCTTTCCCAGGTTACAGCAGAGAGCTGGATCGGAAGTGGAGCAGCGAGGATTTGAACCAGCGCCCACATGGAATGCTGGCACTGCAGGTGGTGGCTTAGCTCACTACTAGGGCATTTCTTTAGTCCCAACATCTGAGTTTTTCCCTTCAGCATACCTGTTACCCAAGTGGTTACACACCACATCAGGTCGCCCCTTTGCTCTTCCTTCTAGTCCTCTAACCACACATCTTCCCCACCCCACTTGCATCTGCCCTCCTACTACCTGGAGGTAACACCAGTTGCACATTCTTGGCAAGGGTTTGGGATTGGCTCCTCTGGGAGTCCCACCTTGGATGAGTGGAGCCTAGCTGTCAGGACAGGAGTAGAACTTACCAAATACTACGTGCTTCCCATCCAGCCAATCGCACTTCGAGCAGGTGATAAAGAACTGACAGCCGTTTGTACTGGGACCGCTGTTGGCCTGATGGGGACCAAACACACCTGCAGTTACTTTCTCTGTCCATGTTAGAGGCGAGATTCCCAAAAGAGCCTGTGGCCCTGGTTCCTCCACACTTCCTTTCAGTAAACCTATCTGAGCACCTATTAGGGGTCACAGCCTAAGCCAGGATCAAAAGATACAGAGATGGGGGCTGCAACACCAGTACCCAACAGGTGCCAATTTGAGTTCTGGCTGTTCCACTTCTGATCCGGCTCCCTGCTAATGTACCTGGGAAAGCAGTAGGGGATGGCTCATGTACTTGGGTTCCTGCCACCTACGTGGGAGAGCCAGATGGAGTTGCAGGCTCCTGGCTTCTGCCCGGCCCAGGCCTGGCCAGTGTGGCCATTTGTGGAGTGAACCAGCAGACAGAAGAGCTTGCCCTCTCTCTCTCCCCTCTAACTTTGCCTCTTAAATAACAAACTTTAAAAAACTTAAAAAGCAAAACCCAAAGACACAAAGATGAACAAACACAGCAGCCCTGCTCTTGAGGAGCTGGACCCTTTAACAAATGTACATTTTCCCTACAGAGTGTTTACAATAGGAACAATTGTTTTGGAGACATGATTTGTTGTATTAGTCCCAAACTGGTTACAACTTGATGATAATTACAAATTAGCTGCCAGCTGGGAAAGGCCTGTCTGAATGACTTTGTACTAGATCATAACAATACTAACAAAATGTAAGGAGCTGCAAGAAGCTGCTGTGCTAGAAAAATGACATTTAGTTCATGCTTGCTTGTAGTTATTCATATTCAGAGCCACACCCAATCTCATTATTATTGAAATTTACAGGAAAAATTACTTTCCAGAGAATCTGAAACTGTCTAGCCATCTCTTTGACATTGTTTTTAATTATTGTATTTAATAATGCACTATAATTACACAGCAGAGTGATACCTTGCAAAGAATCCTTGACTTTCATATGAAGTGGACTTTGCATACATTTTAAACTGATAACCTAAACTGCCTTTAACCTGCGAAATTCAGACTTCTGTACATCAGTGAACTCCAGCTGGAATTCGGCAGCACTGCCTTACAACAGGGTCAGTTTAACTATGTGAATATTTTGTTGTACATTTCCCTTATTTTGGAAAACAATGAGTAGAGAGAGGAGAACTGAAATTATTACTACTCTGAAGGAAAGACAGATCTCATAAAATTAACACCACTGAGACAAAAGTGGCAATTTTATTAGATAGGCCACTAACTTGAATCAGATTTTTAATGGATTTAAATTGGCTAGGTCTGTGTTTCAACTGTGAAGAAAAAATGTGAACGAAGTACTGGCAATACATTAAAGATTATGTTTAGAGAGGTGACCACCAGTTAGGGATTTTATATCATATTTTACAAATCCCTCATGTAAGAAGGGGCTAGGGGCCGGCGCTGTGGCGTAGCGGGTAAAGCTGCTGCCTGTGGTGCTGGCATCCCATATGGGTGCCCATTCAAGTCCCAGCTGTTCCACTTCTGATCCAGCTCTCTGCTATGGCCTGGGAAAGAAGTAGAAGATGGTCCAAGTCTTTGCATGAGACCCAGAAGCAGTTCCTGGCTCCTGGCTTCAGATCAGTGAAGCTCCGGCCGTTGTGGCCATCTAGGGAGTGAACCGGCGGATGGAAGACCTTCCTTTCTCTCTCTCTCTCTGCCTCTCTGTAACTCTGCCTTTCAAATAAGTAAATAAATCTTAAAAAAAAAAAAAAAAAAAAAGATGGGGCTATTTTGGGGATGTATTCAAAACATTTCGTATGAAAAGTAACAGACTGCCTAAACAGGCCAGAGTAGTCCCACTTTGGAATGTAGGATAGAATTCCCAAGGACTCCAATCATCTTGTTTCTTTTTGCTGCTGCTATGTATAATCATTTCTCCTCAAGTAGGTACAAAAACAGTCATACATGTTTGTATAGCTCAAGGACACTCTCTGCCGTAGACACTTATTTATTCACATTCATTCTCTGGTGGTATAGCTCCTGTTTACAGCCTAAGGTCTGGTCCAGATGACCTGGCTCGAACCCTAGCTCCACCACTGACTGTGACTTTGGTTAGCCACATAACGTCTATGTCTCACTTTCCTCACGTGTACCCATCTCAAATGGATGAGGAGAGGACTGAAATGGATTAACACACAGAAAGCGCTGTCGAGTGCACCTTCAGTGTTCGCTTCCACTCCGATCATCACCCAGTCATTCACCAACACCTGCTCAGAAGCCCTTCTAGGTCAGGAAGTGAGGTCTGGAGATGAATGACAGCCAGTCCTTGCCTTGGAAGAACTCATGACTTAGTAGAAGATGGAAACAAAAACAACTGTGCTGCAAGATACGTGACCGCATAGTCCAGCCAGTGCCACCCTGCAGGGGCAAGCATCAGAGGGGACTTCTAATCCTCATGGTGAAAGTGAGCCTACCCGAGCAGCTTCTGCACTCATCCTGCACTTGGCCGAGTGATTTTCCTTGAAGGATGCTTGCATACTGTTTGCTGAACTGGTCTCTCCCCTGGGTATGGCAGTGCCCTAAATGGCTTCTCTGTCCCAGTCCCATCATCCCCTTCTGCCACTCACATTGTGGGCAGGATCCTGACTCTAAACCACAAAGCTGGGGCAGGCATTTGATGCAGCAGTTAAGACATCACTTGGGACACTCACATTCCATCTCAGAGTGCCTCTGCTTTCGATTCCAGCTTCTAATAATGAGTACCCTGGGAGGCAGCAAGTAATGGTTTAAGTGCTTGGGGTCCCAGCCACCCATGTGGCTTGAGTTCTAGGCTCCTGGGTTTAGCCTGGTCAAATCCCAGCTGTTGTGGGCATGTGGGAAGTGAACCAGTGAATGGAAGATCTGCCTCACTCTCTCTTTTAAATAAAAATTTAAAATATAAAGTTTTAGGAACAGGTACACAGCAGTTAAGATACCTCTTGGGACACCTGCATCCATATTGGAGTCTCTGGGTTTGGGTCCCAGGTCTGTTCCTTGTTCCAATTTCCTGCTAATGCACAGCTGGGGGCAGCTACTTGGGTACCTGTCACCCATATGGAAGAGCTGGATTTGAGGTCCTGGCTTGGCAAGGCAGCAAAGTATTTGCTTCCATCCCACAAGACAGCATGGGGCCTCAAGAGGGGCCCAGAAATGAGCTGGCTATAAATCTAACCCAAAACCCTGATTGGAACTCACTTACCATAGAAAGCAGACCTGGAGCTGAGTGCCTAAGCTTAAAATTTTCATCGGCAAATGGTCCTCGGTAAATACTGGCAACACCAGTACCATCTCCCTGAGCGGAGAGAAGGGAAGTGTTAGCAACACGGAGCATTGAGCATCTTAGAAACCAGAAGAAAGGGAAGGGTGTTTGGTCCAGCAGTTAGTGTTGCTTGGGACACCCACATCCCCCATCAGAGTGCCTGGGCTGGAGTCCCAGCTCCAAGCTAACATGCACCCTGAGAGGTAGCAGGTGATGGACTGAGTAGTTGGGTCCATTCCACTCAGATGGGAGACCTGGATTGAGTTCCTGGCTCTTGACTGGCCAACCCCTGGCTGTTACAGGCATTTGATGAGTGAACCAGCAGAAGATATCTCTGTCTGTCTCTCTCGTGTGTGTGTGTGTGTGTGTGTGTGTGCGTGCGTATGCCTTTCAAATCAGTATTTTAAAAAAGAACATCATGGTTAGCAGCAAAAGATGATTCCAGTGGGCTCTCTCAGTGAATACAGTGAATATCCCTTCAGAACTACCTATCTGGTTCTAATTCTTTGCCTACCAATCAATTTCTGATGAAAGACCTAGCTTTCCAGGCACTGTGGCACTGGAAGTGGAAGGGCAAATGGGATGCAAGCATCCAACTCACTGGAGGAAGCTTTATACCGCCACTCAGAACACTCAGGTCAGCTCCTTCTAACTCAGGTCCTGTGGACAGTTCCTGCAGGGCTGTCATGGACCGTCTGGCAGTAGGCTGGGAAAGTCGTTTCTGACCCGAAGGGCTGAGGTTTAATGACTGTGCAAGTGTTGATGTCACTGGTGCAGTCAGTAGTGGCCAACAACTCTAAAGGATGTCCCTCTCACCATCTTCTAACTCGACCCCGTCAATCCTGGCTACTGTTCTTTCTCAAGCTCCGGCCTGGGTCCCCCCTAGTAAGAACAGCAGCAGCAGTAACAACAAAACTAACCCCCGGGGTTTGACAGGGAAGGAAAAACACTTACATTAACAAAGTCACCACCCTGAATCATGAAATCCTTTATGACCCTGAAACAAGATTCCACGGTTTAGAAAAACATTGACTTAGCCACCGAGGTGTCAGACTAATGTCGACTTCAAAGTACAATGTTTACATCACTTTTACTATCAAATGATTATTCTTTTTGAATGAGTGGGCTGAAAGGATCACTAACCTTAGGAAGGGTTTTAATTATACATAAGGGCATCCTGGAGAGGTGATCTAAGTGCCTGATCTGGTATTTGAACAGGAACAAGTAAAACCCTGCAGGAAAAACTACCAAAATATTCACCATGGCAAAAGCGGGTCAAGGGCTTGACGTCAGCTTTGGGGGCAAGAACAACGGAGAATATATGTGGGATGGCCCCTACACCAGGGGGCTTAATAACGGTTGCTACTACTCTTAGGCAGGGGTCCCTAACTTTTCTCAACCTGTTTCCTCCTCTGCAACAGAAAATAATGCGTGCTACCTCACAGGGGTGTTGTTGGAGGTCAGAGACCACACCTGCCTATGTGAAAGTTGTCAGGATTAAAATGGAAGTAATAGATAAACAAACAAAAATAAATAAAAGGATACAGCTGGGAGGTTATGAAGAAAGGATTCTCATCCACAAACTGCCCGATATCAACAATCACCACCAGACTCCACCGGAACAACCACGCACAAAGGCCACCACGGCCTTGCACAGGAAGCACTTCTGTGAGGACAGCTGCATGCCACACTTGTGCTGCTCCCTGTAGCCAAGTGCTTTAAAATCGCTTACGTAAGGGCTGGCGTTGTGCTGCAGCCAGTGAAGCCGCCACCTGTGGCACTGGCATCCCATGCGTGCTGCACACTCTCCTGACAATTCAGCTCCTTGATAGTGTGACTGGGAAAGCAGCAGATGATAGCCCAAGGACTTGGGCCCCTATGATCCATCTGGGAGACCTGGATTTGCCATGGACCAGTCCCAGCTGTTGTAGCCATATGGACAATGAACCAACGGATAAAAGATCTGTCAGTTTGCCTTTCAAATAAATAAATAAATAAATAGTTAAAAAAAAAAAAAAAAGAACTAGGAGTCACTGTTGTGGCGCAGCAGGCTGAGCCGCTGCCTGCAATGCTGGCATCCCTTCTGGGTGCTGCTTCAACTCCTGGCTGCCCACTTCATCCAGCTCCCTGCTACTGCACCAGAGAAAGCAGGGAAGATGGTCCAAGTACTGACCCCCTGCCTCCTATGTGGGATACCCCGATAGAGTTCCAGGCTTCTGGCTTTGAACTGGCCTAGCCCTCGCCTGGGCAATAAACAGTGGATGTAAGATCTCTCTCTCCCTCTCTCTAACTCTGCTTTTTAAATGAATATATAAATCTTTAAAATCTGTGGTCACACAAATAAAGGCATGAAATTGATAGAACAGTGGAACGATGCAGTTTCTGGTTTAATACATAAAATGAATCAGTGGAGGACTGTAAGTGTAGCTAGAACATTTAGATCTTCAGGTTGCTGAGTCCACAGAAACATGTCTTCTCAAGGGCTAAGAATTAGCCTCTGATTTAGTTCTCTTCAAAGCTCCTCATCAGGAGGGCGGATGTTTGGTCTTGTGGTTAAAATGCTGCTGGGGACATCCCCATCCCACGTCGGAATGCCTGGCTCACTCCCAATTCCAGCTTCCTGATAACGCGCACCCTGGCAGGCAGCAGGTGATGGCTCAAGTCACTGGGTCCCTGCCACCCACATGGGAGGGCTGGACTGAGTTCCTGGCTTCCAACTTCAGCCTGGTCCAGTTTTGGCTATTGTGGGAATTTGGGGAGTGAAGTAGCAGACGGGAGCTAACTCCCTGTTTCTCATGTCTCTCAAATACTAAATAAAAAATAAAAATCCTAACCCCGTAACAAAGTACACTCAGCCTTCCATATCCATAGATTCCACAACCAAGGAATTCAAGCAACCTGAGATAAAAAATATTTGGGAGAAAAAACTGTATCTGAACTGAACATGTATTGAGTTATTTTTCTCACCATTATTTCCTGAACAATATAGTATTACATTTTATTAGGTATATGCAAAGGAGCTGGTGCTGTGGTGTAGTGGGTAAAGCTGCAGCTTGCAATGCTGGCATCCCATATGGATGCTGATTCGAGTCCCGGCTGCTCTGCTTTTTATCCCATTCTCTGCTAGTGGCCTGGGAAAGCAGCAGAAGATGGCCCAAAGTGCTTGGGCCCTTGCACCCACGTGGGAGACCTGGAAGAGGCTCCTGACTGTTCCAGCTCTGGCCATTGCAGCCATTTGGGGAGTGAACCAGTGGATGGAAGATATCTCTCTGCCTCTCCCTCTGTCTGTAACTCCAACTCTCAAATAAATAAATAAATCGTAAGGGGGGAGGCGGCGCTGTTGCATAGCAGGTAAACTCGCCACCTGCAGTGCTGGCATCGCATATGGGTGCTGGTTCTAGTCCTGGCTGCTCCACTTCCAATCCAACTCTCTGCTATGGCCTGGGAAAGCAATGGAGGATGGCCCAAGTCCTCGAGCCCCTGCACCTGCATGGGAGACCTGGAAATAGCTCCTGGCTTCTGGCTTCAGATCGGGACAGCTCTGGCTGTTGCAGTCAACTGGGGAGTGAGCCAGCAGATGGAAGATGTCTCTCTCTCTCTGCCTCTCTCTCTCTTTCAAATAAATAAATAAATCTTAAAAATATATATGGGAGGATTGTGTGGGTTATATGCAAAACAGGGGCACTTTAAATAAAAAGTTGATGGAAAATGGAATTAAAAGATAAACTTATTTTGGTGCAAAAACTTGGGAAATCCATATATACGAGTACTATGTATTTTATGCAAGGGACCAGGCATCCTTGGATTTAGGTACCTGAGGGGGATCCTGGAACCAATCCCCTGCGGATGCTGAGAGGCGTCCCAGCCCCCAGGATGCTTGCCAACGGCCTTACCTGTGGAAGGTGCTTCCTTTGTATCCAATGGGAACCCCATCTTTTCTATAAGCAAAAAGAAAGAGACTTGGAATGACGACAGGTAATCAAAGGCCTCTGCAGCTCCTGCACTGGAGCAGAGGGGCTCTCCTAGAGACCGCTGGGAGAACAGCACCTGCGAAGGACAGACCCCTGGGGTGCCACCTTTTATCAGCACCGCCTGCAATCACTGGCGGCCTGCTGGTGGTTCCCCAATACAGTCAGTGCGGCCCTAAGACACCCATAGGAGCAGGCGGAGAAGTGAAGCACGCCCGAGACTGACCTGAATTCTCCAGTGCAGAACTGCCTGAAAGGAAAGAGTGAAGACTCAGTCACTGTGGCATTACAGTCGTGCGCGCCTCGGACCTCGGAGGGCCGGAGCCAGCAAGCCCGTCAACCTGCCCCCACGCGTGCACAGACGCAGGCCTGCAGACTGCGGACACGAACTGACACGCGAACAGTCACCATGGTGACCGTTCGGGCCGAGCCCGCACCAGGCGACTCTGCAGGCCGCCTGGGGTCCGGCGGCTGGCTCGGCTCACCTGGCGGAGCTGGAGCATCTCCTTACCTAAAGTTCTCGGCCGTCTTGGGCACAACATCTGCAAAGAGCTCGATCTTCATGCGACCAACTTCCTGTAACCGGAGGGAGACGGAGACGGTCACAAGGCTCAGTCCAAGTCTATGAAGGGCTCAGGAAGCTGGGAGCCCCGGAGGCTGACCCGTCCGCTTTCTCCCGCCTCCGCATCCCTGGCCTAGCCGTGGGTCCCCCCAGCCCCTCCAGAAGCAGGGAGCCAGGATGCGCGCCATTCCCACGCCTCCTGCTACCAGGCCCCTGGCAGCGGGTCGCTGGGTCTGGCTGGTTTCACTCTCTGGCGTCCCTGGGTTGGTGGGTTCTGCCCCTCTATCCCCATTCCCTCCCGCGTGAGTCGGAGTGGCCGCCTGGATCTCACCTGGCCGCCAATACTGACATCAAAGAACACTACGGGGTTGACAGGGCTTGAATTTGCCACCGCCATGGCTCCGACCCGGAAGCAAACGTCGGGAGCGGGGAGTTCCGGCCGACTAAGACCCAGCCCCCTCGTGGAGGCGGGGCGGGAGGGAGAGGAGGCCGCGGCGCAGGCGCAGTAGAAGCCGACCGGCTTCCGGGGCGCGTGCGGTGGCTCGGGGCGGCTCCGTGGCGGTGGCGTGGAGGCTGTACCGCGGGTAAAGCCTCGGCGTCTTTTCCCTCAAGGTCAACGGGACCCCGCTCGCGTATCTGTACTAATACGGTCCAAATTCTAGGGCAGTCTGCAGATTCCATCAGCTTACAGCTAAGACATCTGAAGCGCCCACCGCGCGGGCAGGGTCTTGCCGCTGCCCAGGTGAGACCCAAGGCAGGCGCTCTGGTTTGCTCGCGCTCAGCGGGCGCTTGGAGCAGCCTGACGCAGACTCCCTCGGTGAATGCTTACCCCTTCTTCCTTCACGTCGGGACATCGGAATTCTGTGGCTTCCAGCCCACTTCCCCCAGAGCAGCTGGAACTTGCCGCCACCCGCCTGGCCTCCCCTGCTACCCCTCGCACTGTTGCCGGGCGCGGGCCTGTGTTCTTGGGGCCTCTGGGATGCCCCCTGGTACGAGCTGGCCCCTCTTCTTCCAGATCTCAGTGGAGGTCAGGGGATGTTCCTTGTACAAGGTGCAGGGCGCAGCCTGACGGCTCCCCCTCAGAGACAACACTGCACCCAACCTAAGACAGCCTTCCTGCACTCGGATCACCTGTTTTCTTTACACCACTCCCCCAGCCAAAATTGCCTTGCAGCACCTGTCTCCACAGGGACATCCGGCTCCCTGAAGGCCCGGAACCTCCAGGGAAGTGGACTCTGCCTGTTTGGTTCACCGCTGTAACTGCAGTGCCTGCTATTGCTGAGCTCTTAGCGGTATTCAATAGATTCAGTTCACTGAGTGAAAGGTGGACTGGGCAAGGTTCGGGGTCAGAGTGTGCAACTGGTACTTTTGATCATCCTTTGTAATTCTGTGATCTGAGGAGCCGAGGATAGGGGCCAATGCTGTGGCATAGTGAGTAAAGCCACTGCCTGGAGTGCCGGCATCCCATATGGACGCCGGTTCGAGTCCCAGCTGCAATGGCCGGAGCTGAGCTGATCTGAAGCCAGGGACCAGGAGCTGCCTCTGGGTCTCCCACATGGGTGCAGGGACCCAGGGACTTGGGCCATCGTCTGCTGCTTTCCCAGGCCATAGCAGAGAGCTGGATTGGAAGTGGGGCAGCTGAGACTCAAACTAGTACCCGTATGGGATGCTGGTACTGCAGGCTGGCTCCAAAAGTAGTTGATTTTAGTTCACAGTTCAGTGGAAAATTGCCCAGGTACTTAAACCTTGCTACCCATCCACATGAGCTCCTGGCTCATGGTTTCCACCTGGCACAGCCCTGGCCGTTGTGGCCATTTGGGGAGTGAATCGCTGACCTAAGATATCTCTGTGTCTCTCCTCTCTAATTCTGCCTTTCAAGTAAAAATAAATAAATCTTTAAAAAGGGAGAAGTAATCAAATAAGAAATAACACCATGACAATGGGAAGGGACATTCAATTAATTGTGTATGTGCTCTGCTGAAGAGAAAATTAAATCCTTGAACTTAAGTCTCAATACTGATGAATGCAAGATCTCTGAGGATATTAAACAAATGAGAAAACCATTCTTAGAACTGATTTAATAAATATATCGGTAGTTTTTAAAGACTTCTGGTTGATGTAAGTGGGGACCTGCAGTACTTCTCTCTGTCACGGTCCAGTTTTGTGTCTAAACTTTCAGTGAGCAGGTGTGGTCCGTGTAGCTTCGGAGAGCAGTGATGTCATAGTCCTGACTTGTGTTCCTGTTCTGGCGTGCTGTGTGTCTCTTTTACAGAAGCTTCAGTTATCTGTCCAGCTTTGGGACTTTTTAAACGTGAAGGAGATTCAAGGGACTCTGGGGCTGCCATTGCTGCTTCCGACACATTATCTTCAGTCTCTTGAAGACTCCCAACTCCCAAACTGGTTCCTAAAACACTAAGAAAACCACGTGTAAGGACATTGTATGGACAGAATTTCTTGGTGGCAGTTTAGCATACAAGGATACTGTGTCAATAGGATTTGCATTTTTTTACAACTGTCAAAAACAAAGAAAACCAAGTGAAATATACCTTAAACTCATGCTCATGAATTAACTTCTACCTTAAGACGGGATTCTGTGGGGTGTAGGGGTGAAGGAGTGGTGAGGGGAGAAAGAATTGGAAGAGGGTTCAAATACAAATATAGAAAAAATCACTCCAAAACATGATGCTTTTACAAGCGAGTAACTCAGGACTGCTTAGCATCCATGACTATCAGACGTGCAGACGATTGTCTTGATTTTACTAACCTGGAGTTTGGTAAAGGCAGTATGTTCTTCAGTAGTTCAAGTTCAGGGATTTCTGTTTCCTAAGAGAAAGAAAAGGTGAATATTAAAAATAATAATGATAGGAAGAACATGTCAAAGCTTTGGGGCAAACTGTGAATACACTGGTTTTATTTCATCAGGCTTATTTGATATCAAAAAGGGGTTTGAAACTGGAGTCCCTATGTGGCTCCAGTTTTTCCGGCTTAGGTATCAGCATCTGTGACCACCTCATGCTGGTTTAGATACCACTCCTCTGGTTTCCACAGCACTGTGGGCCTACTATACTTGCAGAACTTAGTGAATGTATGCTAGTGGCAGTGACATGATTGTCATTCCCTCAGCTGAGTTCTGAGCAGGCAGACACCCTTTCTCGTTCTTCTTCATATCCAAGCCAGATGGGAGGCAGCATGAGGCCTGGCACACCATCTATGCTCGATCAATATTTGTGGATTGTGTGAACTTTGCTTTACAGGCAAAGGAAGACTGAAACTCTTGGCAATGAAGTATAGTCACGGGCCACTGATGACACTTTGGTCAACAATGGTCCTCATATACTATGGTGGTCCTGTAAGATTATAATGAAGCTAACAACTCCCATCATCTAGCAACGCTGCAGCTGTCACAGTGGCTGGCTCGATGCACAACTTATGTGTTTGTGGCAATGCTGGTGTAATCAAACCCACTGCACTGCCAGTAGTACAAAGAACAACACATACAAAATACTTGATAATAAGTTACTGTTTTACATTTTTACTATACTTTCCAGCACCATTTTACAGTGTACTTCTGTTTCGAAGCTGCCTCAGGAAAGTCTGTCAGGAGGTGTTCCAGCAGGAGGGAGGCCCTGTTATCAGGGACATCAGCTCCCTGATGTCTATAGCTGCAGCCTATATATCCCACATCTTGCGGGACAAGATGTGAAGGTGAAAGACAGTGATATTGATGATCCCAACCCCGTACAAGTCTAGGCTGATGTGTGTTCTTCTGTCTTAATTTTGAACAAAAAAATCTTAAAAAGTAAAAAAAAAAATTAAAAATATGCTATACTATAATGGTTAAGCACTACCTAGGTTTATGTAAATCCTGTATTAGTTTGTTTTCTGTTACTATAAAAATATCGGAAACAGGCTACTTTATTTAAAAAAAGTTGATTTTTCAAAATATTTTAATGTTTTGACAGGCAGAATTAGACAGTGAGAGAGAGACAGAGAGAAAGGTCTTCCTTCTGTTGATTAACCCCCCAAATGGCCGCTACGGCTGGTGCGCTGCGCCGATCCAAAGCCAGGAGCCAGGTGCTTCCTCCTGGTCTCCCATGCGGGTGCAGGGCCCAAGCACTTGGGCCATCCTCCACTGCCTTCCCGGGCCACAGCAGAGAGCTGGACTGGAAGAGGAGCAACCGGGACTAGAACCTGGCACCCATATGGGATGCTGGTGCCACAGGCAGGGGATTAACCAAGTGAGCCATGGCGCCAGCCCCTCAAAATATTTTTTAAATTTATTTGAAAGAGTTACAGAGAGAGGTAGAGACAGAGAGAGAGGTCTTCCACCCTTTGGTTCACTCCCCACATGGCTGCAATGGCCAGAGCTGAGCTGATCTGAAGCCAGGGACCAGGAGCTGCCTCTGGGTCTCCCACGTAGGTGCAGGGGCCCAGGGACTTGGGCCATCGTCTGCTGCTTTCCCAGGCCATAGCAGAGAGCTGGATTGGAAGTGGGGCAGCTGAGACTCAAACTAGCACCCGTATGGGATGCTGGTACTGCAGGCCGGCTCCAAAAGTAGTTGATTTTAGTTCACAGTTCTAGATGTGTAAAGGCTAAAGTCTAGTCTGGAGATGGCCTTCTTGCTGGCAGAGTCTGAGGCAGTGCAAGGAGTCCCACAGAGAGGTAGTGTGTGTGTATATGTTTGTGTATCTGCCTGGTCTCTCTCCTTTTAAAAAAAATAAATTTATTTATTTATTTATATTTGACGAGAGAGAGAGAAAGAGAGGGGAAGAGGGATCCTCCCTCTGCAGATTTACTCCCCAAATGCCCACAAGAGCTGGGGCTGGGCCAAGTCAGGCTTGGAGCCCAGAACTCTATCTGGATCTCCCACAAGAGTGACGGAGACTTGAGTACTTAAGCTATTACCTGCTTCCTTCCGCTAACGTGCATTAGTGGGAACTGGAATCAGAAGTGGAGCCAGAACTCTAACTCAGGCATTTTCAATATTGGATGTGGGCATTGTAAATAATATCTTAACTGCTGCACCAAACATCTGCTCCCTCTCTCTTATGTAGCCACCAGAATTCAATCACGGGAGCTCCACCCTAACTGCCTTATCTAATACTAATTACCTCTCAAAGGCGCCACCTCTAAAGGCCAGAGTCAGACTAAGTTTTTAACCTGGGGATTAAACTCCAGCATGAGTTGGGGGGTGGGGGTGGAGGACATATCATATTCAAATTATATCAAGTATACTCTACAATGTATACACAAAGATGGAAACACTTACTGATGATTTCTCAGAATGGATCCCCATTGTTAAGCAACACGTGAATAGGTTGTTCTGGTGGCACGAGATAGATGAGAAGAGGAATAAAGACTAAAAGGAGACCCGCGCCGCGGCTTACTAGGCTAATCCTCCGCCTGCGGCGCCAGCACCCGGGGGTTCTAGTCCCGGTTGGGGCGCCGGATTCTGTCCCAGTTGCTCCTCTTCCAGTCCAGCTCTCTGCTGTGGCCCAGGAGTGCAGTGGAGGATGGCCCTAGGTCCTTGGGCCCTGCACCCACATGGGAGACCAGGGGAAGTTCCTGGCTTTGGATCAACACGGTGTGCCGGCCACAGCACTCTGCCTGCAGCGGCCATTGCGGGGTGAACCAACGGAAAAGGAAAACGGAAAAGGAAGACCTTTCTGTCTCTCTCTCTCACTGTCCACTCTGCCTGTCAAAAAAAAAAAAAAAAAACTAAAAGGAGATAATTAAATAGTTGTTTTGTTATTCCAGGTGCCATCTAGAATACAATGGGTAACAAGAGGGACATAGTTCTGCCCTCATGGAGTCAATAATCCAAGAGAGAAGGAAGATGGAATCACAGTACAAGGAGCAATGTGGTCTGTTACCAGTCTGTGTCCCTGGTTACTTCCATGCCTCTGGAAGGGAAATAGTAGATTTTGGGTATCATGAGATAATGGCCAAGATCAAGGGGCTACAGAGTTGGTTTCAGCCTTTGTTTTTCTACTAATTAACTGTGTAACCTTGAGTAATGACATCATTTCCCTCCCTAGATCTATTTCTTCCTGTGTGGATGTGGAAATTAAATGACAGACATCACATTAGATTACTTTGTGGGGGAAGGTATTTGGTGCAGCAGTTAAGATGCTGCTTGGGCCACCCACAATCCACATTAAAATGCCTCAGAGGTTCAGGTCCCTGCTTGGCTCCTTTTTCCAGCTTCCTGCTAATGAGCACAGTAGGGAAGAAGCAGGGTGGCTCCAGCAGCTGGGCCCCTGCCACCCACATGGGAGACCTGCATGGAGTTCCCAGCTCCCAGCTTCAGCCTGGCCCAGACTTGGTTGTTGCAGGCATTTGCGGACTGAATTAGCAGATGGAAGATCTCTCTCTCTCTCTCTCTCTCTCTGGCTTTCAAAAAAATATATGAATTTTTAAAGACATTGTTTTGTGGATTTAATAAACACATTTTTAAATAAATAAATGAGGCCGGCGCCGCGGCTCACTAGGCTAATCCTCCGCCTTGAGGCGCCGGCACACCGGGTTCTAGTCCCGGTCGGGGTGCCGGATTCTGTCCCGGTTGCCCCTCTTCCAGGCCAGCTCTCTGCTGTGGCCAGGGAGTGCAGTGGAGGATGGCCCAAGTCCTTGAGCCCTGCACCCCATGGGAGACCAGGATAAGTACCTGGCTCCTGGCTTCGGATCAGCACGGTGCGCCGGCTGCAGCGGCCATTGGAGGGTGAACCAATGGCAAAAGGAAGACCTTTGTCTCTCTCTCTCTCACTGTCCACTCTGCCTGTCAAAAAATAAAAAAATAAATAAAAATAAATAAATGAGACAAAAATTACTGGAAACCAGGCCACATAATCTGGCAATTCTACTTTTGACAAAATCTGCAAAACAGAGGTTGGAAATAATCGCTTAAAAAAAGTGTTTATTTGAAAGGCAGAAAGAGAGAAAAAGATATTCCACCTGCTGGTTCACGCTCAAAATGACTGCAGGAGCCTGGAACTCCATCTGGGTCTCCCACATAGATGGTAGGGGCCCAAGTACTTGGGCCATCTTCTGCTGCTTTCCCAGGTGCATTAGCAGGGAGCTGGATGGGAAGGGGAGCAGCTGGGACTCAAAGTAGTGCTCATATAGGATGCCAGAGTCACAGGTGGGTACTTAAGCCACTGTACCACAACACTGGCCCCTAATCACCTTTCTGACAGCACAAGATGCAGGTCTTGTAGTCATAGGAACAGAGCCCAACATGCAGGAAGCACTGTGCAGTAGCTCGGGAAGAGTCTTGCAGCTGATGTCTCAGGGAACAAAGTCAGCAGCTTCAGCCCTGGACTCAGAACGCAGTTCTGACCACTGAAGTTACTCTGTACCTTGTATGGAGTTACCTATTTTATCTATATATTCTGTCTGGACTTAGCTACTTGTCTGTTTGGAGTTTTAGAGCTTAAACACTTTTCTCTGCCTCAGATAGTCTCCTTAAGACAAACTCTTTCCCAGATCAGCCCGGCCTTGCTTCCTGTCTCTGAGCAGATTTGCTCATCTTTCCTTTCAAATGGGGCTGCAATTAGCAAACAGGAGTGTTGGGAATGAGTCATATATGAGAAAACATCCAACATTCATTCATTCTTACATACGGATGGGGCACCTATTGAGGCTCTAACATGTGGGATACAGTTCTCGTCCCAGGGTCTCCTTGTGGAGGTGATGGACAGACACAGGCAGTGACAGGATGACGTTACGGAAGACGCTTGGGCACACAGAGGAAGGTGTTTAGTAAGAGCTGACCTCGTTAGAGCAAAGCATCTGGTCAAGAGCAGTGTCGGTTCTGCCCTTCATGCAGCCCAGGGAGCCTGTTTGCCGCACCCCATCACAACGCTGAAAGGAGGCAACTGCTACCCAAGGATGAAGGGAGAAAAGGGCACGGCAACCTTAGCAATACATGCTTCAGATTAAGGACCCAAAAGCAGGGGGCAGCGTTGTGGCAGAACTGGTTAAGTTGCCGCTTGCAACGCTGGCATCCCATATGGGCACTGGTTTGAGTCCCAGCTGCTCCACTACTGATCCAACTTCCTCCTAATGCACCTGGTAAAGCAGCTGAAGATGGCCCAAGTGCTTGGGTCCCTGCCCTCATGCGGGAGATCTGGATGAAGCTCCTGGCTCCTGGCTTTGGCTTGGCCCAGTCCTGGCTATTGTGGCCATTTTGGGGAGTGAACTGGCAGATGGAAGATCTCTCTCCCTGGCCCTCCACCCCCTAACTCTGCCTTTCAAATAAATAAGTCTTGAAAAAAAAAAAAAAAAGACCCAACAGGAAGCTCACATCTTACCTGTCCTCCACGAATCTTGATGCTTCGTATAATGCGCTCTAAGAAGCTAATCTGCTGGGTGAGCCGAAGACTATTTTCCTGTAATTGCTTATTTTCTTTGTCCAGGAAAAGTGCTCTAAGAATGGCACAAAGCAGAGTTGTAACTAGAAATTCCTGTATCATTCCTAAGTACTAAAATTTACGTTCCATGTTCCACTAGCTCTAGGTCTTAGACCACTGTCCGGATTTTAGAAGCAAAATTTGACAGAATAATTCCAACCACATTTCATGATCAAGTAAAAATTATTAAGCTTCTAGCCGGCGCCGTGGCTCAGTAGGCTAATCCTCCACCTTGCGGCGCCGGCATACCGGGTTCTAGTCCCGGTTGGGGTGCCGGATTCTGTCCCGGTTGCCCCTCTTCCAGGCCAGCTCTCTGCTATGGCCAGGGAGTGCAGTGGAGGATGGCCCAGGTGCTTGGGCCCTGCACCCCATGGGAGACCAGGAGAAGCACCTGGATCCTGGCTCCTGCCTTCGGATCAGCACGGTGCGCCGGCTGCAGCGGCGGCCATTGGAGGGTGAACCAACGGCAAAGGAAGACCTTTCTCTCTCTGTCTCTCTCACTGTCCACTCTGCCTGTCAAAAATTAAAAAAAAAAAAAATTATTAAGCTTCTGACCCCTATGTGGTTATTAAGAACAGGTGCAATATGTGAAAGGCACAATTCCAGCCCCTGAGAAATTTAAGGAAGAATATGAGCCCATTTATGGGTGGGATTGAGACAGGAGACTGACTGAATGCCTTCAAACATTGTAGCTCTACAGCTAGTATCTGTTGTGATCTTGTACTCACCTAGATCTGACTTCTCTGCAGATGCAGACATAGCAGCAGTAGCAACCATTTACCAACTACTGCCTGTGTGCTCAGGCACCATCACCTAGGCAGGTGACGCACACAGAGCTGGAATTCACAGAGCTGGGATGCCAATTCAGATCTTTTAGATTTCCATGGCTGAGCTCTGAACCTCTTTCTCAGGCTCACTCTCTAGGGCCACAGTTTGTTTGGGAGACTTGACAGTGTAATTGTTTTGATCAGAGACTTGTGTTTGAATTCTGATTCGCCCACTTACTTGCTATATAACCCCTGACAAATTACAAATCCGAGCCTCAGATTCCTCATCTGTAAAAGGAAGGAATGTCCTGGAGAAGATGCATATTCTAAAACATCCAAGACCACTCCAAATGATCAGATTGTGTCCCCGGAGGGCAAATAGGAACATCATTAATGTGAAGGTAAAAGCAACACAAGTCAGTTGTGCTGGGTCCTGACTGTCAGAAGCTATGACTGTTTGAGAGGAGTGATGATTTGTATAGGATAAATCAAATGGGAGACACAGACAATAAAAGATAATCAAAGACTCTCCAGTCCTTCCCAGGGCAGAAAACCCAATGCAGTGGACAGGAGAGCTGCAGTGGGCTCAACCAATCTCTCCCCAGACTTCAGAACTGCAGGCTGCTCAGCCACTGACTAACCTCTTTGCACCTTGGCACCTTTTTTCTTCATCCAGGAAATAAGGCTAAATAATAGTGCCGATCTCTTGAGATTGGTGTTAGGATTAAATGAAGAGAGAGAGAGAGCAAGAGAGAGAAACTTACTAGCATATAGTAAATGCTCATATAAATGATAACCTCTGAAGTTACTATTGGTGACATTATTTGTTAAGATCAACCCACTGTTTGCCTTGATCTTTGCTCGAATAACTTTGACTTTCAAATAAATAAATAAGTCAAATTTATTTTCATTTTATTCAAAAGGCAGAGAGACAGACACAGGGAGAATGAGACAGAGATCTTCCAGCCACTGTTCACTCCCCAAATGTCCTCAACAGCCGGGGCTGGGTCAGGCCCACGCCAAGAGCCTGGATGCAATGTGGGTCTCCCAAGTCGGGAGAGGTAATCAAGTACCTGAGCCATGATCTGCTGCCCCCCAGAGAATGCATCAGCAGGAAGCTGGACCGGAGTAGAGGAGCCAGGACTTGAACCAGGCACGCTGATATGGGATATGAGTGTCCCAACTGGTGTCTTAACCACTGTGCCAAATGCCTACTGCTAGGAAAAACTTTTCATTGTAATTAAAGCTGTTGGCTAGCAACTGAACAGTCTACTTAGAGTATTTTCATTAAAAGTTAATACACCAAGGGTGGGCATTTAGGCTAGAGGTTAAAATGCCAGTTAAGATGCTTGTGTCCCACAACAGAGTGACTGGGTTCAATCCCCAGCTCTGGCTCCTGACTCCAGCCTCCTACTAATGCAGACCCTGGGAATTAGCAGTAATGGTTCAATTGACTCCTGCCACACATCCGAGAGATCCAGATTGAGTTCTCAGCTCCAGGCTTTGTCCCCAGCCCAACTTGAGTTGTTGTGGCTTTGGGGGAGTGAACTAGCAGATGTGAGCTCTCTGTCTCTGTGTGTCAAAGAAATATAATTTTTTTACATTAACACATTGGTATCCTGTGGGTTTCATGAATTTAAGTCACTCTTGTGAGCTTGATTCTCACCTTAATTCCATAGATATCAAATGAAAAAAGGGAATGTCAACAGATCAGTATGAGACCAGAATCCACACAGCCAGGCCCTCTTCAAGATCCTCCTGAATAGCTGGCTTGCTTACTCGGGACCTCCTTCTCTTTCATTGTACAGTCTGCTGGAAACAGCAGACAGCAGAGCAGAAGTCACAGGACAGGCCACAAAGTCAAAGGTCAGTCTCTGGAACCACCTCTCTGTTGAGGGAGAAACACTCTTTCGGTGGCCTTGGTTGGCTCTCAGGCAGGACTGCACCTACCTGCTCTGGATGGAAGTTATTATCCATTTGTTGCTGTGGATCACTTCTTCTTGTTCTGTCACCTGCTCCAGAAGTTTCCTTTTCTCCAGGAGCAGGACATCATTCTGGGCAGTGATCTGGTCCTGCAGTGCCCTCTCCTAGGGATGAGAAAGTCCTCTAACTGCCACAGCAGGAGAATGAACTGGACAGTTAAGAGCATCACTCTGTTTTTAAGCCCTCACTGCACATTCCCCTTGGCTTTTTCTCTCTTGTTCTCCAGTCCCTTTCGCCTGTTGGCTGACCTTGCCATTCATCCCAGCTCAATAGTTCAATGTTGGTTGTTTCATGTCATGTATTTTGTTTGGACATTTAATCATTCTTTTGTGGAAACATTAAAAAAAAAAAAAACAAAAAAACAAAAAAACCCTGAGCACTCAGCTTCCACTATGGTCCCAAAACTCTTCTCTGTATTCTCAGTCCGTAGGGTTCCACTCTAAAAGGGGAAATCTGGCCACTTCACTTGGCATGTAGTGTCAGGCTGTCAGTCAGCACAGCAAGTCAAGCATGGAAGCCAGGAGCGGAGTCTCTTCTCAGTGATGCTGAGATTTCTAGTCTGATACCACATTTCATTTTCTAACACTGATTTCTACCAAAGCAATAACTGTGAAGTTACAGTTAAAACGATCAAGGAGTGTATTTTGTGGGAAAATAAAACCCACCAAACTAACATCCTTGTATTGAAAGAATCAGTAGATGTTATAAATCTCACTCTTGGTGAGGGTTTAGAGCTCAGATGTGTAGAACTGCCAGTCTTCCCTCACTAATGACTTGTCAATGGTAACAGGGAAGTGACCTCACCTTTTTGTGTTTGTTTCTCACCTGCAGGAGGTGGCAGGAGAATGACAATCTCTGACAAAGAGGGAGTTACAAGGTCAAGAGGGGCAATTCTATAGGTTTCTTTTACATACAAGGCTAATATTGCTTCTCAGCCTTTTGGCTAAGATCTAGTGTAATAGGACACTTAATGCAGTCGATGATCTGAAACAAACCGTTCCAGACTTTAAAGTCCTTCCCCAGGACCCTTCAATGTTGGATAACAGTCTTGCCTGCTGTTATTGAAGGACTTTTAATTAATAACGGATTGGTAAGAATTGATATGAGAAGCAGCCCCCACCCCCAATAATGCCCTTTGCAGTTATAACTGGATTAGAAAGGATATTGGGAGGCTGACATTGTGGCATGGCAGGTAAAGCCATTGCCTGCAATGTCAACATCCCATATGGGTGTAGGTTTGAGTCCTGGCTGCTCCACTTCTGATCCAGCTCCTTGCTAATGGCCTGGGAAAGCAGCAGATCATGGCCCAAGTACTTGGGGTCTTGCCTCCCACATGGGAGACCTGGGTCCTGGCTTCAGTCTGGGCCAATCTGGCATTTGCAACCATTTGAGTAGTGAAACAGTGGACGGCTTCTGATGCAGCATCCTGCTAATGTGCTTGGGAAGGCAACAGATGACGGCCCAAATACCTGGGCCCCTGCCACCCATGTGGGAGCCTCGGATGAAGTTCCTGGCTCCTGGCTTCAGTCTGGCCCAGCCCTAGCTATTGAGGTCATTTTGGGATGTAAACGAGTGAGGAATGGAAGATCTGTGTGCGTGTGGGCCTCTCTGTTACTTTGCCTTTCAAATAAATAAATACATCTTAAAAAAAAAAAAAAAAGATGGTACAAAGCAAATAAATTTAAATAAAGGCTATGAAGAGGCCACAAGTAATTTTTAAAAAAGTGGTCTTTCTCCGAATGGTCAGTCACCAGCAACATCATGGAGCTGTTTCACCTTTCATTTTCTCACCTTTTCCATTTGTTGTTGCAGTGTTCCAATTTCATGTTCAAGTTGTTTGATTCTCTCCGCTTGTAGTTCTACTTTCTGAACAAAATCCTCCTTGACTTTCTGAAGCTTGACTTTGTTGTGGTGATGCTTCCTGTTATAGTTCCTGTAAAAGTGAACTTGAGTACAGGCACACCTGAACACAGTTAAAGTTTCTTTTGCCTCCTCAAGCGACACCTTCCCTGAGTTTCCTCTTCTTGCTAATCTAAGGAACCTGGCACCAGAAAGGGATGCATATCCAGCCTTGCATCGTCTCTCCATCGTCTCATTCCCCTGCCCATATTGGGGAATGAACCAAGGATAAACCCCCTACCTAACACCAATCTGAAGAATCCCTGAGGTCTTAAGCCTCTAGCTTACCTTGGTCAGAACCAATGGTTGTGATATGACTTTAGTTCCTGTGTTTAATTTAAGAAACTCCTTGGCTTCTGATCCCTGACACCTAAATTCTGAATCCTACTCAACCTATTCAGTCATTAATGTACAACTTCCTCGTACTTGGCTACACCCTTGGGCAGTGATACACCCAGTTCAATCTTATCTAATTTCCATGGAGCTGGATCTGTTTTCTATCATTGCGTTGAGTCTGTACATCTAAATGTCAATTCTATCAGGTCCCTGCTAAAGATTCTTACTCTGATCTTAAGTTGCATCAATAAACACGTGAATAGATGCTTAACATCTCTAGTTGTTATGGAAACACAAATCAAGGACACAATGAAGTACTACTCCACAGGGAGGATGGCTAGAACAAAAAGACAGATAATATGTGTTGGTAAGGATGTGGAGAAATTGGAACCCATGTAGCTAGCCTGGTATTTCCTTCAACAAGTTTACCTGGAGTTGCCACATGACCTAGCAATTCCACTCCTAGGTATATACTCAGGAGAAATGAAAACATGTGTTTACACAAAACCTTATACACAAATGCTCATAGCAGCATTATTTATAATAGCCAAAAGGTGGAGACAACCCAACTTCCATCAGCTGATGAATGGATAAACAATTATGGTATACCCATAAAATGGGTTATCATTCAGCACTAAAAGGAGTAAGGTATTGACACATGCTACAACATGTATGAAACCTTGAAAGCGTGATGCTGAGAGAAGCCAGTCACAAAAGATCACATATTATGATTTCAAGTACATGAAATGTCCATAATAGACAAACAAAGAAAAAAAGTAGATTAGTGATTGCCCAGGCCTAGGGTTAAGAAGGGAAATCAGGGCCAGGGTACAGGGTTTCTTTTTGAGGTGATAGAATGTTCTAAAGTTGTGATGGATGGACAACTAAAAACCATTGAACTGTATAATTTAAATGGGTGAACTGTATGGGATATAAATTATATTAGTTATATATTATATTAATAATAATAGTATAATATATAATTATATATAATGAATATTTATTTAAAAATCCAACCAAACAAAAATTTGTTACCATTTCAAACTACTAGAACAGCTAATCAGAATAAATAAAACAGATTAAAGAATGCATACTGCCCCTAGACAAATCTCTTTGAGAGTGACTGTGCTTTCCAAGCTAAGATCGTTATTCAGGGGTGGGCATTTGGCCCAGCGGTTAAGGTGCTGGTTATGCCAGCAACCCATATTGGAGTTCCTGAGTTTGATTCCTGACTTAGCTCCTGACTCCAGCTTCCTGGTAATGCAGATCCTAGGAGTTAGGCCTGATGCTTCAAGTTGAGTAGTTGGATCCTATCACCCAAGTAGGAATCCTGGATGGAGTTCCTGGTTCCTGGCTTCAGCCCTGGCAAGCAGTTGTTGAGGGCATTTTGGGGAGGGAACTGTCAGAGTTTGGGCTCTCATTGTCTTTCAAGTAAGTTAATTTTTAAAAATTAAAAGTTTTGGGGCCGGTACTGTGGTGTAGCAGGTAAAGCTGCTGCCTGCAGTGCTGGCATCCCATATGAGCACTGGTCAAGTCCCGGCTACTCCACTTCCAATCCAGCTCTCTGCTATGGCCTGGGAAAGCAGTAGAAGATGGCCCATGTACCCACATGGGAGACCTGGAAGAAGCTCCAGGTTCTTAGCTTCAGATTGGCATAGCTCCAGCCATTGCAGCCATCTGGGGAGTGGACCAGCAGATGGGAGACCTCTCTTCTTCTGCTTCTGTAACTTCACTTTTCAAATAAATAAATAAATAAATCTCTAAAAAAATTAAGAAATTTTTCTTTGAGAACTCATTTAATAAAAATTACAGGGGCCATTGTTTTGGACTAAGTTCCTGTACTAGATCCCAAAATCCTGAAACTAATTCTACATCACCAAGTTGGAACTAAGCTGTGTATCTGACATTCTGAGAACTATGACTATGAAGCTCACAGTGCAATTTCCCAAACAGGTCAGTTTCAGTTGGCCTAACAGTCCCTGCTGCCTTAATCCTTACACACAATAAAAAGTAACTTGAAGGGCAGGCATCTGGCACAGCAGTTAAGACCCCATCCCTTTTAAGAGTTCTTGGGTTTGAGTTCCAGCTCCATTCTGGATTCCAATCTGCCTCTGATTCTGTCTCTCTGCCTTTGAAATCCATCAGTCAGTACAGCTATGTCCAGAGATTGCCAAATGTTTGCTTGCCCTGGGAGGCTGTGATACTGAGAAACACATAATTGGTACCAGCTTCCTGGCATGAAGCTCCTAAAACCTTTGGAACCTCCTCCAAAGTGAAGGTTGTATCCTTTGTATGCTGATGACTGGGGGCTGGAGGCCCCTAGATAGCTTCAGGTTGGGGGCTGGTCCCCAGGAAGGCCAAAGCATCCACAATGAGGTTCCCATGAAAACCCAAAAGGACCATGTCTGGGGAGCCTCTGCATGGGGTGGCACACCCCAAGAGGTGCCTCTTCCCACAGGCCTTTCCCTGTGCACCTTTTCTATCAAGTTGTCCATCTTACTGTTGGTGCGATGCTGTTTTATCCTTGGGCAAGCCTAAGTAAGTGCTGCCCTGAGTTCTGTGAGATGCTCTGGCGAATTCCCTGAATTTCTTGGGAAAGCTGATTGGTCAGTGAGAAGCACTGAAGTGGGGAACAGGCCTGTGGGACTGAGTGTCTGGGATATGACGTTATCTTCAGATAGACAGTGTCAGAATCAAATTCAATTAGATGCCACTCAACTGGTGTCCACTGGGGAAGCGCCCTGCTTGGTGTGTGGGGAGAACTCTGCAACACGGCTGATGTCAGAAGTGTTGTGTTGAGTGACTGTATAAGAGACCAGGGGAGAAGTTATTTTATATTTTTTCCTATAAATCCTTAGAAGCAGACTGTCCTAAGTCAAGGACCGCTGCTGTAGCCAATGTTCCTAAATTAGGTTCAATAGGCTCAATCTATTTGTATTCCGCGTAACTTTTTCTCTTCCTCTTTCAAAGTGGGAAGATTGTTGGCAATGACTCTACTGTGTAGGGCTCTTGGTACCAGCCTAAGCCCTGTAAGTTACGGTGCCTGGAAGAGGGGTCACTGAGGAACCCTGACCCCGCCCCCTTACCTATTCACAACACTGTACACAAAGGTAGTTTCAGTTTTGCTTTGAGCCTGTCCCCTTGAGCACAGCCTCTTTCCTTCCATACTGAGAGTGTTTCCAGTCAAGGTGATAGGTAAAGCAGCCCCGGTGTGGCTCTGTTTTCTACATGATGCAGGCCCACAGTATGGCTCAAATTGCAGTCCAGGGTTCTGACCCACAGTGCAGTATGTATCTACTTCAGGCTACCTGTGTGCAGCCCAGGGCCTCACCTGTGGTCTGAGTGGCAGCTAGGAAGAAGGAATGAGCAGAGGAGTCTCAGGCAGGTCAGGGTATGAGGGCCAGGTTGGGGATCTGTGTGATGGGATGGAGGGGGACTGGTACACCACACTTTCCCTTCCTGACCTTTAGAGCTGGTCTCTGCAGTGATTCACACAGAATTAGGCTGCATTTTTGAATTAGCTGGTAAGTAACTGCTTTCTGAAATTCAGGAGGCATTTAGTGAATTTGAGGAAGATATGAAATCTGAAAGAGACATCCAGGGCTCAAGGGTTTGATAGCTTTATAGGTAGGATCATAATAGCAGTTGAGACTAGGCCTGTGAGGCTAGCTGAAGCCTTTAGAAATCACAGAGGGCCCAGAACAACCCAGTCGAGATTTATGAGAGCAGCCCAGACAGTGCTGGAGGGGCTGCTCTGGAGAGATGCTGCGTCCAAAGGAAAACAAACATGTTATCCTGCTTTGTGGCAAATGCTAGCATGTTTCCCGTGGGTGACTTGGGATGCACACCTTGGAGACTTCCGAAACTGGAGAAAGGGAGCTGCAGGAGCAATGGTGGCTCTTTACCGTGGAGGGACAAGCTGTTGTCAGAGTCACGTTACCCAGTTCCCTTCTCAGCCACACACTTGACAGTGAAAGGAGCCTTTACCTATCATAGCAGACCTGGAATCCAACCTCAATAGGCTCAATAGGCTAATCCTCCGCCTGCGGCGCCGGCACCCCAGGTTCTAGTCCCAGTTGGGGTGCCGGATTCTGTCCCAGTTGCCCCTCTTCCAGTCCAGCTCTCTGCTGTGGCCCGGGAGTGCAGTGGAGGATGGCCCAGATCCTTGGGCCCTGTACCCGCATGGGAGACCAGGAGGAAGCACCTGGCTCCTGGCTTCGGATCAGTGCAGTGCACCAGCTGCAACGTGCCGGCCATAGCAGCTGCTTTGGGGGGTGAACCAACGGAAAAAAAGAAGACCTTTCTCGGTCTCTCTCTCTCTCACTGTCTAACTCTGCCTGTCAAAAAAAAAAAAAAAAAAAGCTGCAGCTGGGACTTGAACTGGTACCCAGATGAGATGCTGATGCCGCAGGCTGTGGCTTTAACCCACTGCACCTCAGCACCAGCCCACCACAGTACCAGTCCCTTAAATATTTTTAAGACTTATTTTATTTTTTTGAAAGGTAGAATGACAGAGACAGGAAGAGAGAAAAAGATCTTCCATCTACTGGTTCACTCCCCAGAAGGCTGCAATGGTCAGGGCTGGGCCAGGCTGAGGCCAGGCGCTCCATCCAGGTCTCTCACACAGATGGCCTGGACTCAACCACTTGGGCCATCATCTGCTACCTTCCCAGGCACATTATCAGGGAGCTGGACTGG